GAGGGGGGGTGAATGGGAGGCTCATGTTCAATCATACTCAAAGCTCACTCTGACTCGTACTCGCTCACTCGCATTAGGATTCACTCGGCTTCGTCGGCCGTGCCGCCCATGTGGACGCGCTATCATGGTCAAGCGCTCACGAACAGACGCTCACTGTGGCATGACATAACACATGATATGCACATATGGGGAGCTCCACTCAGTGAGTAATTGTTTTCGTTGTCGTCGTCCCGGCGGTTTGGTCGCGGCGCGGGTGGGGCGCGGCGCGGGTGGGTCTCGGGTGGTTTGCGGCGCCGATGGGTCGCGAGTGGGTCGCGGATGGGTTGCGGGTGGGTCGCGGCGTGTGTGAGTCTTTCGGTCCCCTCAGTCTATCAGTGACCGCTCTCGGGGCCCTCTGGGAGCTATCTCGGGGACCTCTTGGAGCCGTCTGAGGGCCCTGGGAAGGGCTCAGCGGGGCCCCAAGACGGCTCCAAGAGTGGCCCAAGAAAGCTCCAAGAGGCCCCCAAGAGGGCCCCAATATCGGTCACGCAAGAAAAGCTTCGCGTGACCGCTCTTGGGGTTCTCTTGGGATGGTCATGGGGCCCTCTTGGAGCTGTGCGAAGGCCCTGAGGAAGGGCCCAATGTTGTCCCAAAACAGCTCTAAGAGGGCCCCAAGACGGCCCCACGAGGACCCCCAGGGCGGTCACGCGAAACCTTCCTTGCGTGACCGATTTAGAGGCCCTCTTGGGGGCTCTTTGGGGCCTTCCTGGGAGCCGGTTGGAGCCCTCTTGGGGCCTTTATGGGCCTGGGCAGTGGCCCCGTCGGCGGCTTCGGCGTATTCGGGTCGCAACGTAATCCCCTTCCACAGTCCACGAGGTTTTTTTCCCTGCCGCCTTTTCGTCTGACAAGGCTTAGTTTGACGAGCGCGTGATTTGACGAATCTTCGCTTCGAGATTTGCGCAGAGGGGCCGTCGTGAAAGTAAGTTTCCCTTCCCGATGGCAATCTTCAAAGTTTCGTCAAACTTTTGGCGAGCAGTGTCGAACAAAATTGCCCGCGTCAAATCTCGTCAAATTTCGTCAAAGTTCGTTAAATCCTGTCAAACGCTCGTCAAACTAAGATTCGTCAAGTCGCTTCATCGTCAAGATTGCCTCGTCAAACTAATAGAATGATGACAACAATGGCACGATTGGGATTGCGTTGCAACCCGAACGTGGCGCAGTCGCCGAGGGCAGGTCGCCCGGAACCTTCAAGAATTTGTTGGCCTGGTAGGGTAGTCGGCCAGTAATCGTGCTATGGGGTCGTACGGGCCCATCTGCAGGTTTTCTGGTCCGCTCCTTTCAGGGAATATTCCCGGGCGAGTCTCCGCGATCAGGGAAATGCAGCAGCGCGCAGCGAAACAAAACGGGGACAACCGTCGCCTGTGGAAATCAGATGTGGACGGAAGGGAAGTGGAAGAAGAACTCCAGCTTTGCGGTGGCCAGGGGCCCCGGGAGAGCCCTCCGAGGGCCGCGCAGAGGGTCCAGGGTGGTTTTGGGGGCTCTCACGGGGCCCCCTTAGCGATCCCTTGAGGGCCCCCCCGAGGCCGCGCGATATCTTTGCGGCTCAGGCCCCAACGATCTCATGCGATAGCCTTTTCCCATGATGTTGCTGGGGTCCGTGCCCCATCGATATCACGCGGCCTGGGAGGGCCCCGAGGCGTTCCCGGGAATGCCAAGGAGAGGCCCGCGAGGACTCGGAGGGCCCAGAGAGAATTCCAAGGGGGCATCAGCCTCCTCCCTCCTCCCTCCTCCCTCCTCCCTCCTCCCTCCTCCCTCCTCCCTCCTCCCTCCTGGACGCATCGCGCCAAGCTCCGTCCGACGGATCTTTGGCGCGACGCGTCGCGCGCCCCTCTCGGAGCCCCCGCGGGCCGCTCTTCGGGAGGGCCCCGCGAGGACCCCCAGGGAGCTGGATTCTTCCAACGCTCTACGGCCAGAGGGCTGGGTGCTGGAGAGATTGAAGGGCAATTGCAAGGTATCGCAGGGCAGGCTGTAGGGACTTGCAACGCATTGCAGGGTCTCTTGCAGGATACTGCGTGGCATCGTAAGGTCATATTGAGATTATTGGTGCGGTGTTGTGTAAGGGTGTCTTTATGGTCTGTACATGTTTTGCAGGGTGACTGCGGGGATCTTTTCAAGGTCTTTGCTAAGGGGCCTTTGCGCGGGTCGTCGCATGGGTTGTCTGGGATGGGGGGCGCCGCGCACGGCAACTCCATGTTCGGAAACTCTTATTAGTCTTGTCCAGGCCGTGGGCAGCTTTCATGCGCTATCAGTTTAGGTTGGGCAGGGAGATTATTTTGCTATTCCTGTCGAGACAGCGCGCGTGGTTGCGCGGACAGTGTACGTTGATAAGAGAGAGAGAGAGAGAGAGAGAGAGAGAGAGAGAGAAAGAGAGAGAGAGAGAAAGAGAGAGAGAGAGAAAGAGAGAGAAAGAGAGAGAGAGAGAGAGCGCGTTTCACGGGCGGTTGCCTTGGGAGCATTCGGCGGCGCGTTTCGAACCCCGGGGGGTGGGCTCCCCCCCAGCGCTCCGCGCCGTCGATCAGAACCACGGGGACTCCCCTCCCTCCTAACCCGCCCCCCTCCCAAGCCCCCCCCCTCCCCCCCTGGCGCCCGCGCCGGCGCTGGCGGCCGCCGTAGCGCCAACGCAGTGACGACGACCAGAGAAATCCCAGGAGGGGTGGGTGGGTGTTGAATTCCGGCGGCGGCCAGCAGCGCCGACGGCGGAGACGCAGCGACGATGACCAGAGAGGGCCCAGAGGCCGCAGAGGGAACACACAAATCGCCATATCGAGCCCTCGCGTGCTCTTCAGACGCCGCAAGACCTTTCTGACGAGACCTTGAGAGGCATCCGTTAGAACTCTGACCCTTTGCCAAGACACAGTGGCGGGATGAACCGAAGGCCACACCACCACCGCCGCCACCACAGACCACCATACCACCACCACCACCACCGCCACCACCACCACCACAACCACCACAACCCACCATCACCACAACCACCACCATCACCACAAACCACCTCACCCCCCCCACCACCACCACCAAAAACGCCACCACCACCAGCACCACCGCAACCCACCACAGCCCACCAGGACCACCACCACCACCACCACAAACCACCACACCATTACCACCACCATCACCACCACCGCCACCACCACCATCACCACAACCCACCACCAACATCACCACCACAAACCACCACACCACCACCACAACCACCACCACCCACCACCCACCACCCACCCCTACCATCAGCATCACTACCAGGAACACCGCCACCAACACCACAGCCCACCACCACCACCACAAACCACCACGCCACCACCACCACCGCCACCACCACGACCGCCACCATCACGACCTCAACCCACCACCACCACCACCGCCACCACCACCACCGCCACCACACAACCACCACCACAGCCACAGCCACCAACACCACCACAACAGCTCACCACCACCACGAATACAACAACCCACCACCAGTATCACCACCATCACTACAATCTACCACCACCACCAGCACAATCACCACCACGACTACCAGCAGCACAACCCACCACCACCACAACCACCACAAACCACCACAAACCACCACACCACCACCACCACCACCACCACCGCCAGTACCACCACCGCCAGCACCCCCGCCGCCGCCGCCAGCCGTCGCCGACGCCGGCGCCGGCCCGAGGAGAGGGAGATGGGAAAAGTAGGGGGAGGGGGTTCGTCCCCCCCTCCGTCTCGGGAGGGTGGGGGGGGGGGGTCGGTTTCGTTCCCCCCCCCCACCAAGCGACCACAGAACACGCTCTTCCGTTGATGAGAAAGAGCGTGTTCTACCGCTGCTGGCGGAAAACCGTGGGGGGTCACTACCGGTTCGAACCCCCCCCCCCCCCTCCGGAAAACCGGGGGGGGTCACTACCGGTTCGAACCCCCCCCCCCAGTTCATCATGAAAAGGGGGGGGGGGGTCACTACCGGTTCGAACCCCCCCCCCCTCGAAAACCGAGTGGGGGTGCGGACAGTGGTGGGGACGGTGTTGGTGGGGACAGTGGTGAGGGGACAGCGGGACAGTGGTGGGGACAGTGGGACAGTGGGACAGTGGTGGGGACGGTAGTGGTGGGGACAGTGGTGGGGACAATGGTGGGAACGGGGGGGACAGTGGACAGTGGTGGAGACGGTGGTGGTGGGGACAGTGGTGTGGGGACAGTGGGAATGAGGTGGAAACAGTGGGATAGTGGAGGGTGCAATGGTGGTGGGGACAGTGGTGAAGGCGGTGGCGAGGACGGCGGTGGGACAATGGGACAGAGGTACAGTGGGGACAGTGGTGGGGACAGTGGGGGCAGTGGTGGGAACAGTGGGACAGCTCAGTGGGACAGCGGAGGAGTCAGTGGGACAGCGGGGACAGTGGGGATAGTCGGGCAGTGGTTGGGTCCGTGGAGACAGTGGGGAGAGTGGAACCGTGGTGGGAACAGTGGTGGGAACAGTGGGGACAGTGCGACAGTGGTGGGGGCACTGGTGGGGACAGTAGGGACGGTGGTGGAACCAGTGGGGACAGTGGTGGTGAGGACAGTGGTGCTGGGAACAACAGTGGGGGATGTGATGCGGACGGTGGTAGGGACCGGGAGTCGTTTGCTGGCGGTGCGTGGGGGGAGGGGGGTCGAACCGGTAGTGACCCTCCTCCGGTTTTCGAGGGGGGGGGGGGAGGGGTTCGAACCGGTAGTGACCCCCCCCGGTTTTCCAGATCCGGAGGGGGGGGGGGGGGGAGGGGTTCGAACCGGTAGTGACCCCCCCCGGTTTTCGAGGGGGAGGGGGGGGGGGGGGTAGGGGAGGGGGGGGTTTGCCGGGGGAGGGGGGGGGGGAGGGGGGGGGGTCCAGCAGGGGGGGGGGGATTTTCGGAGGGGGGGGGGGGGCGACCCCCGGGCTTCGGAGGAAAAGGCTAGCAATTTTCCACAGTAAAGCGGCGGTGGATCACGCTCTCTCGTTGATGAAGATCCCCAAATATATACCAGAGGTTCTGTTTGATGATAGTAATATCACTTCCGTGGTGGAGCACGCCAGGGCTTCCGTCACAGCGGCCACTCAGAGGTCCGTGGACTTCGACAGGGTAAGCGGCCAGCTGACGAACTTGGGCAAGACCGTCGCCTCCGCTACCACCCCGGAGCTAGGGAAGGTGCTCGGAACGCTGGCGGTGCAGGGCCAGCAGCTCACTCCCTCAGCCGTCTTCAAGCTGCTTGGCGCGCACCTTGGCATCACGGAGGCTCCCGCGGACGCGCGCGCAGAAACGAGGTGCCAGGCGTGCGTTAAGGTTGTGTGCGTAGGACGGGTGCCCTGCCCCTCGAATTCGGCTTCAAGATCCAGGTGATCACCGCCGGAACGCTCCCAATGCTGTGCGGGGTGGAGGTTGTGGTTCCCATGGAAAAGCGGACCGCGATGTTCGCCACACAGATCATCGACACCCTGTGGGGTACTGGGCGGTGGTGCTGGTCCTGGGCGGCGCCCCTGACCGTTCGTCCGTGGGCACCGAGTGGACCCGTGGCAATGCATCCACTACGGCGTCGCATGCACGTGGCGCCGCTGCCCGGTCAAATCTTTCGAGGGGAAACGAAAAGAGCCTTCGTCCAGGTCTTCTGCTACCTGCAGGCGGCGGAACCCTCCACACGAGCTGCGCGATGACCTGAAGGCGGTGGTTTTTGGCGCAAGCAGATGCGGCGGAAGGACATTCCAGAGCTGGCCGAGGGCAGCCGTACGGTGGATGACGAGGCGACCGCCAGGTTCCTTCTGCGACCGCGCGGGTTCACGAAACTCCAGCACGGCCTGCTTCGTACATTCGTGTCGGGGGCAATTAACACCTAGGACCGCGTCGGTGCCGTCACGGAGCAGCAGCGCGTGCTTGAGACCGAGCGTTGCGCGTTTTGTTGGACGATTTCTCGTCAGTGTTTGTTTTGTCGCAGCGGCGTGTGGGATACGGCGCACATCGTGAAATCTTGTACCCACGCTGACATGGTGAGTGCCCGCGAGGAGCACGCCGCGCAACTTCTCCGTGAGGCTCGTGAGGTGTGCGGTGTACGACACTCTGCCTACGTGCGCCCGCCTGGGTGGCAGTGGGTAATGCACGAGGAGGAGGAGCAGACGCTTCGGCTTGCCATCCCGCCCCTCGGACATGGCCTTCGCCTCCCAGGCTGGACACAGTTGCTGGGGTGGAGTTCTTTTCCGCGGACCGCTTCTTCGCCGCCGCCGGCGATGGCGCTTGTCATCACCAACAGCTTGCGGTGTGTCGTTGCGCTGGGCACGGGCCATTCTACGGGGGGGGCATTCGGCATCTTCTACCTTTAGCTGCTGAGCGTGCAGCAAGGTGCCGAGCGTGCAGAGGTGTCTGCGTGTGCTAGTGTACTTGCGCATGCGTGGTGCCGCACGGAATAGTGGACAGACTCGGAGCTGGCGTTCCTCGACATGGAGGCGATCGACGCCAGCCGCCCCCTCCTGGTGGAGCAGTGGGACGTGTGGGCCAACATCGAGACGGCCTACGAGGCGAATGGCCAGATGGCGTACTTCGGGTCCGCAAGGGCAACGGGTACTACGCGGACTGGGAGCCTGAGGATCCGGCGGGTCCCACTTCTGATGATCAGCGGCGTGCCCAGGAGGCCACGGCCAGAACCGTTCAACGGGGTCGCGGACCGCCTGGCCACCGCGGGGGCGGGCATGCACCCGCCGTGCGAGGACTTGGTCCGCAGGGCGACCGCCCGCAGGACAGTCGCCAGGGTAGTTCAGCCACCTGCGGTGCACACCTGCTCGAGTGCAGTGCGCCCCTGCTGGATGAACTGACCACTCCCCGGACGATCCTTGGGACTCTCTGCTGTCTTGGGCCCCGTCAAGCCGATGTTGACGCGGCCGCTGCCTGAGACCATCAGCGAATCCAAGCTGAGGTCGGGTTGCGGGATCGACGCGCTCTGGCAATGCCCCGACGCGCTGTTGCTGCCCCTTCCCTGGCTCTGCTCCCAGCTGGCAGAGCCAGTCCAGACGCAGCCTGGAGAAGTGGGAGCCACTTGCCTGGAGCTTGCGCTGGATCTCAGTTCGCCACGCACATGATCCCTCGGTGGGCTAACGTGGTCGGCGCGCCCGCCGCCTTCAGGCTCCAAGAGTACTTTGCAGCAGCCATGAGGCGAGATGACGAGTTTTGGCGCTGCGCCAGGGTCAAGCATTCCTGGGCAAGTTTGGCCACCGACGGATCAGGGCCGCAGCCGCCCTCGTGCTCCTGGTGTTTTTGGGGCTCTGGGTGCGCCCGCGCCTCCTCCGCCGTGGAGTTGTGGCCACGGACATGCTGCGCCTGGTTTGCGCCGGCGGCAGCAACCGGAGCCTCCCCAGGGAGCTGCCGAAGGTCGTCCTCGGCTCCCTGCCGCCGCCGCTCTGGCCCCCTCCTGGCTCCCAAGGCCTGGCCGCCGATCCCTTGCAGGGGGGGGCCGGGGGCCAAACGTGGCGCCGTCGGGGCATGCCGCCCCTGCCATGCCTGCTCAGCACGGCAGCGCCGCCGCGCCCACGGTTGCCGAGCTGGACATGGTGATGTGAACCGATGAGGCGAAGGCCGCCACCGACGCAATGGTGGCCATCAAGTGGCGCATCTGGACGGTGGAGATACGCCGCCCCCTCCACAACCGCGCGGCAGCGGAGAAGCAACTCCATGTCGTGCGGCCGTTGGGTGACCGCACAGGGAAGCGCGTGCGGTGTGAACGCTGCACGCAAGCGGTCGGCGGGGATTGTTTTTCTCGGTTCTTCGCGATGAAGTGTCATGCCGCAGCAGCGCCGACCAGCGGGTCCACGTGCGCAGCGAGCGCGCGAAGCAGCTCCGCCAGCACAGCCGTGATGCTGAGGCCAAGGGGAAGCATTCATTGCAATTTGGTCGAGTTGGTACGACGGGCGCTCGAGCGCACACGCTGTCAGGATTTCCTGAGTATGTGTCTTTCACGCAAATGCAGGCTATCACCAGAACAACGTATGTTTTATTCCCTAATTACCTAGGCTCTGCCTAGAAGGGTTCTTACTCTGTTTGCTTAAAGGGGCCGGGCAGTTGAAAGCGCCCTAGGCGGTTCCCCCGGTCCCTTGGGAGCGGTTCCCCCAGTCTCCTGGGAGGTTAGCTTTAGCTTTAGCTTTCGTTTTAGCTTTCGCTGTAGCTGTAGCTTTAGCTTTAGCTTTAGCTTTAGCTTAGCTTCCGCCTAGCTTTAGCTTAGCTTCAGCTGAACTTTAGCTTAGCTTTAACTTAGCTCTAGCTTAGCTTCAGCTTTGCTTCAGCCTAGCTTTAGCTTAACTGCAGCTTAGCTTTAGCTCAGCTTTAGCTCAGCTTTAGCTTAGCTTTAGCTTAGCTTTAGCCTAGCTCTAGCTTGGCTTTAGCTTAGCTTTAGCTTAGCTTTAGCTTAGCCTTAGCGGAGCTTTAGCTGAACGTTAGCTTAGTTTTAGCTTCGCTTTAGCTTAGCTTTAGCTTAGCTTAATAGTTGCTTCAGCTTTGCTTCAGCTTGGCTCCAGCTTTAGATTAGCTTTAGCTTAGCTTTAGCCTAGCTCTAGCTTGGCTTTAGCTTCGCTTTAGCTTAGCTTCAGCTTAGCCTTAGCGAAGTTTTAGCTGAACTTTAGCTTAGCTTCAGCTTCGCTTTAGCTTAGCTTTAGCTTAGCTTAATCTTTGCTTCAGCTTTGCTTCAGCTTGGCTCCAGCTTTAGATTAGCTTTAGCTTAGCTTTAGCTTAGCTTTAGCTTAGCTTTAGCTTAGCTTTAGCTTACCTTATTTTAGCTTCAGCTCATCTTTAGCTTAGGTTTAATTTAGTTTGATATTTGCTTCAGCTTCGCCTCAGCCTGGCTTCAACTTTAGCTTAGCTTTAGTTTATTAGTTTAGCTTTAGCTTAGCTTTAGCTTAGCTTTAGCTTAGCTTTAGCTTAGCTTTGGCTTAGCTTTAGCTTATATTATCTTAGCTTTTAGCTTAGCGTTAGCTGAGTTCTAGCTCAGCGCTAGCTCAGCTTAGCTTAGCTTTACTGTTACTACTAGTGTTGCTTTCCTAGGGGCTCCAACTCCTAGGTAGGGTCGCACTGGGATAATGGTTGCCTCCAGTACTCCGTCGCCCGACGATGACCTCATGACGGGAAGGGTAACAGTTCATGCAGGCCTGGGGAGTTCGTCTGGAGGCCCTGCCTGCTGCGGCCGAGTCTGATTGTTTCATGGTGACTTGCAGGAGCTGGTTCCTGTTGATCGGGTGCGTAGTCTACACCAACACGTTCGGTATGTGTGTGTGTGTGTGTGTGTGTTTGCGTGTCCGTGTGAGTGTGGTGGTTTGGCTTCTCCGTCTTTGGGGAATGGGGAGGAGGGGTTGAAGCGGAGCGGGGCGTGGGAGGATGAGGAGAGCCGGTGGAAGAGGAGCACGAGGACGAGGAGGAGGACGAGCAGGAGGACGAGGAGGAGGCGGAGGAGGATGAGGAGGAGTGGGAGGGAAGCAGCGGGAGGAGGGGGGGGGGGTTATGCTGATGCTGATGACGATGATGGAAATGAGTATGATAGTGATGGCACTGCTGACGAGGATGGTAGTGCCGATGATGGAGATGATGATGATGATGCTGAGGATGGTGATGCTGCTGCTGCTGATGATGATGATGGTGATGATGCTCATGATGATGGTGGTGGTAGTGATAATGACGGCAATGATGGTGATAATTCATGATGATATCGCTAATGGTGACTACAATGATGGTAATGGTGATGACGATGGTGTCGATGACGATGACGATGGCGATGACGATTTGTTATGGCGATGCTGATCATGATGACGATGATAAGGACACTGGTGATGCTGGTGATTCGGATTACGCTGAGTATGTGGATGGGGCAAATGTCGGACGATGGGCGATGGCTTGTGGACGACATGGATTTTGATGGTGGTGATGATGGTGAGGAGGCTATGGCGCCAGGCTTGGAGTCGGAGCCACCATCAGCGGCATGCGACAGGAGAAGAGGGAGGGAGTGAAGGATGAGGAGTATAAGGAGGATCAGGAGCGCAGCAACAAGGATGAGGCATCCGGCTGGAGGGGGGGGTGAGGGCGGGCGCGGATGATTAGGATGAGGGCTAGATGGAGGCGCCTGGGAGGGGAGGGGTGGAAGTGCGAGGGAGTGGTGGGGGGAGGAGGATGATCAGGAGGAGGAGCCTCAATCTTCCTCTTCTCCCGCAATCCGCTCCGCTCCCGCGGCCAGGGTAAAGGGCATCGAGGCCGTTTGCACGGGCAGGCTCGAGGCCAGCCAGGGGCCGCCGCCGCGGAGTCGCGGCTGCCGCCGCCGCCGCCGTTCCCGTTACATATCCTTCCATCTCCCTCATCCTCCTTACCGTCTTCCTTCCCTTCGCGGCTCGGCTACAGCATGGTGGGCAAACGCTTGGCTACCCTGCGACGTCGGCAGCACAGGGTTCTGGCGCAGCTGTCGCCCCTGCCGCTGCGCACCGTGCGGTTCGCAGACCCCGCCCAGTGGACCAGGTGAAGACCGGCGGTGCCAGATCGTGGTCAATTGCGTGGAAGCGCTGCTGGAACAAGACTCGACTGCCCATGCTGCGAGAGAGTTAGCAGACATTGTTGGAGGGTGGAAGAGGGGTCTTCAACAGGGGGTCTTCAATGGGGGCTGAATAGCCCATGTATGCTCAATGTATCGCTCATGTATGTAATCGTGTACGATTGGCATCCAATGTTGGCGGTCATGGAGGGCCAGTCGTTCGTGCCCGCGCGTTGCCCGCGCGGGCACACGCGCCGTCCATCCATTATCGTTCATGCGTGCGGGCTTTCTTGCATATTGCGCGTGACGCGGCGAAGTGGAGTGCAAGTGTGTCTTGATTGTGCGATTGATGATCGCGTCTGTTCCCAAAAGTGAGTTATGGACCCCCCAAAACAGATTTGGAATGGGTCCCGCGATTCTTCCAAAATGTGAGTTCACATTTTCCTTTTGTTCCCAAAATGTGAATTCACATTTTCCTTTTTGTTCCAAGTGTGAATTCACATTCTGGCCCCTTCTTAAATATTCCTATTCAAAACTCCAAACTGTGAATTCACATTTTCCTTTTTTCCTAAATGTGAAATCACATTTTTCTTGTTCCCAAAATGTGAATTCACATGTTCCTTTTCCCCAGAAGGTGAATTCACATTTTGCCTTGGCCTTCAAGATCCCCAACACTGAGGCGCAGTGTTCCGCATGTCAGGTTGGCTGGGCAGATTTTGACACTCACCTCACCGTTTTCGTTTGTTCCAGCCTTTTCTTTTTGCGCCCTCAGCGCACGTTGCCTTCGTCGCCTTTCCCGAGCCCCCCGCCGCCTTGCTTCGTTTCCCCTCAAGTCTCGCGCGTGGGTGCTGGCGGGGAGCTTCAATTGGCGCCCCCGCCGAACACTGCAATCGAGGACGCGTCGCCCATTTGTGCCCCATAAAGACACCATTGCCGGGATCCTGCGCCCGACGCCCACTTTCACCCTCCAACGTTGTGGCAGGGGAGCGCACGACTAGTGGGAGCACAACCAGTCCGCAGTTGCACTGGCCTTGCGCGCGGTGGCGGAGCGCCGTTCCCTGCGCCTGGGTTGGCGCGGGCTATGCCGTGGCAGCCGTCCTGACCGTGGCGTTTTTCCGCTGCGTTTGACGGCGGCCGCGCATGCTGGCTGCGGTTGGGTCATTTCGGTCCAGGCACCGCATAGGCAGCGGGTCCCTGTGAAACGCCTCAGCTACTTGGGGGGCAAATTGTTGGAAAACCGACATTGGTACGAGTTCCAGAGGTATGAGGCGGATGACGCCGTCCGTGGCTGTTCTGGGCACGGCGGAGAGCTACATAATATCCACTTGAACGAGGTTTGCAGCGTCGACGCCAGTTGCAGCATCTATGCCGTCAGTTTCACGGTTTGCTTGCTCATAGTTTGCATTTCCGTTTCCATGGAAATATCATCATTATCACAGCCAGCTCTTTGTGCTTGTCGTGCTTTGAGTGCCGTCGCCGCGCGACCAGGCTTCCGCTTCACTCCTATCCTCTCCTCCTTTTGCTCTTCCCCCATCCCCCTCCTCATCCATCCCCCTTTCCTTCCTCCCCTTCCTCCCACTCCTCCCCCTCCCCCTCTTCCCCATTTTGCCGTCCGTTGATGGCATTGCGACTCCAGGCCTGATGCCATGGCCTCCTCCTCCTCATCATCATCATCATATCCATAATTTCCACAATCATCATCATCATCATCATCATCATCATCATCATCATCGTCATCGTCATCGTCATCGTCATCGTCATCATCATCATCATGACCAGCATCAACATCAGCATTATCATCATATACTTTCCACCTCCTTCTCATTATGCTCAGCAAGTCATATTGCATCACAAGACGTGCGATATCTAGACCAAGTGGATTAGACGTGTGTCTACTTGGGCGGTCCATGGTTGTATGCAAAGCACTTGTCTCGGATGGAATTCCGGATTTGGGCTGCAAAGCCACGCAGTTTCTGAACGATAGGATAGGTACCCACACATTATTGCAGCATTGGCCCGTCAGCTGAACGAGTATGTCAACGGCACGACGCAGACTTATTGGTTCAAATTATGGAGGATATGGACTTAGTAGCACTCTGCGCTTTCCAAAGATCAACATGTCATAGCAATTCGGGCACTGGATCGCAACTCCATTATATTGTCATTGCGCAACTGTGCGCTCTGAACGGCTGACTCCGTTGGTCCGTGGCGCCGGCTGGCTCGCGAATGGCATCTATTAGGGTCTCGGCTTCCTCGCGACCACATCCCAACGCATGCTCGCCTGCAGTATTATTTAGTAGACGCTTTTGGACTTCGTAGTAGGATCGACGACAACCCACGGATCGGTTTCTGCCCGCACACACTTGCATGGCGTCGCGAATCGTCGATGGATTCGCTCAGACGTGGCACGAATCGAGCAGAGTTTCTTCAGGGTGCCGAACACCGCGTGTCAACATCGCCGGCAAAGGTGTCACAGGTACGATGTGGTGGGCACATTCCCAACCTGGAATAGGGGTTGTGTGTGTACGGATTGCTCGTGATGAGAGCAGTTGATTTGTTTATTGGTCATGTATATATATATATATATTACCGAAAAACATCTGGGCCACTGCATCGGTACCGACAGCGAGCGCAGCAGGTGGTAGAAATATTAAAACAGCGGCGTCAAGTGCACCTTCAGTTACTTGATGCAGATCCCCACCTGGAAGTTCCCCCTACCCGACAGCTGAAAGTCACGAGCATCACTCACCCGTCCGCGTGTGCGACAAAGACATCGAAAAGGGCGAGCTGCAAACACAGCAGAAATTGTTCAAGCATATCGATGTGTTCAAGAATCAGAACTGGTACGCATTTTGCGCCTTATGTCAGCTCGCAGGGCAGGACTTCGTTGCATAAACTATTGCAGAGTCGTCAAGACCTTACCCGCGACTCACGGCCTCAAGCATCGATGTCAATTCAGTCGTGGAGACGGCGGTATGGAGGCTGAAATGATTGATTGGCCAACACATGCTGAGGCATAAGTCCATGGAGATGGTGGAGTGGCGTCAGGTCCCCTATCATGTGGCCATGTAGGGAGGTATTGGTTGGGCCCGACAGACTTTGCAATTCATGGCAACGTATTTTCGCCCGGCGGCCAAACGCAGAGCATTGCCTCCATGGCGTTGTACCATTTGGGGGGGAATGCATTGCAGCCTTGCAGGCGTAATTCACGGCGATGTGAAGGAGTCGGGCGTGAAGTACCCAAGTTAGATGTCCAGCATCTCTTTCTTTCTCCAAACTATCGGGCAGAGGTCATACGGAACCGCAGACACATCATTGGATTGCAAGCTCTCACACATGGTGGCAGCTTCTGACAAGAAGATCAGCCATGTCACCTGTCCGCGTTGAGAAGTGTTCATCTCGTCGTGCATATCTCGGGCCGGGCGAAAGGGGGGGATTGGGAAAGGGGGGGTTACGAAATTTGCTGCATGCAGCTGGTTTCGGCCCCACCGAGGGCCCCATTCCTCGATACATAGCCGCCTCCGGCGCCGGGAGGCGCCGGGAAAATCAGCTAGGTGAGCTGATTCTCAACCCCCCCCTTTGCTATCCCCCCCTTTCGCCCGACCCGAGAGAAGTGGTCATCTCGTCGTGCATATCTCCACATCGACGTGCTATCGTACCTCATTTATTCAATTTCTGAGACTGTGAATTTCTGGGTTTTTAGTCAATTTCTGAGACTGTGAATTTCTTAACCCATGATTTCTTGAGCATTTCGCAGGGTGTATCTCCACATCGACGTGCTATTGTACCTCATTTATCCAAGTATCCCACGGCCTCTTTGCGCACAATGGGGCGGGGGTCCCCGATGATGATCTCGGCAGTCCCAAGGGCGGTGCCTCCGACGCTCTGGTATTCCGTTCGTGCGCGAACCTACAGTCACCACCCACCAAACCACCCCAACCCAACCCGAAGGCCCAAATTTATCCTCGATTTCCAGTGGGGGGGGGTCGGGGAACGTTGAAAAAACACATGGTATCCGTACCCCCCCCAACCCGAAATTCGGGTCAAATTCGGGTCTTCGGGTTGGGTTGGGGTGGTCTGGTAGGTAGGCAATACAGGTGCTCGCCACGCTTCGGCAGCGCCTCCTTCCAGGCTCTCTCGCAGGCTGTCGGCGCCATCGTGCGAGGTCTTGAAGCGCGCCGAGGTGAACGTCATCTCTGTCATGCTGCAGATTTTTCTCTTCCGTGGGCCCGACGACATCATTTCTGCTCGGCCTCGAGCGGAGGCCCTCGAGGGGGGCTCTAGGGCTGTCGAAGTACCGCCAGGAACATGGGCGCGGTCTGTCAGGAGGTCCAGGATTTGTCTGCACAGTCTGGGGATAAAACGTCTACGTGGTGCATCAACGATATCTCCCTCTTCGCGCCAATATTGAGCTCGACCTCGCCTTCCGCTTTTACGTCCCTCACGCTACTCGGGTACGTGTATCGGGGGGAGAGGGGGAGGGCTCGGGCAGAACAGAAAGGCATCCACGGACTATCAGCACACATTCAGCACGCACATGCACAAACATAATTACAGTATCAATCCGCCCGATAATAGATCTGTGGAAGCAGTATTCGGCGCGGGCAATAAGCGCGCGCGCGTCAGCAGGTTCGATCAGGCACAAAACACACTTACCTATTGCTGGATATGGCAGCGATCGCGCGCGCATGCTTGGAGGAATCCCTAGAGCTGGCCCGGCGCGTCGCAGTGAATTGCCAAGTCGCATTGTGGCGGTGGGTACTGGCTTCGTGGTGATGGACCGCTATTGATGCCAACCCAAGTTGCCGCGTACCGAACAACGTGCAATTCTCTTCAGTCGCATTGTCGGCCCGCCCTGTCAGGTCGCGAATGCATCGTCCCCGCCGCCACGCTGCTGGAGAAACTGCAGACGTGCGCGCTTTGTCGCGCTCGCTGGGCCACGAGGTGGGCGGCCACATCTTATGAGGGCGACCGTCCCGCTTGAGTTTCAAATTCGGAGATTGTCCGATTCTGGTGCTTCGCCCCGCTGGGGCTGGAGGCCAGGTCTCGTCGTCTGAAGTGGCGCCAAGAATGCTCCGCTCGCTCGACGGATACCGTGCTGCCCTATTTTGCAGCATCTCTGCCTTGCTGGCATGCCAGTGATATTTTCCCCCCTCCCTTCTCCATCCTCCCCTCTTTCCCCCGCCGTCCCTCTTCTGCCTCGTTGGCTCCTTGCTGGGTCTGCGCCCGCTTGTCGAGGTCTGCGACCTGAGCTTCCCCGCGCCAGCCCAAGAGGCGTGCACTGCCGGGCCCGGGCTGGGCGGGATGGCGGAGGGATGTGGAAAACAGGGGGAGGTGGGAGGAGGATGAACATGGGGCCATGAGGAAGAGGGGAAGGAGGAGGAGGAAGAGGACGAGGAGGAGGTGGCGAATGAGGAGGAGGAGCATGCGGAGGTGGGGGAGGAGGAGGAGGAGGAGGAGGAGGGTGAGGATGAGGAAGAGAACGAGAACGAGAACGAGGACGAGGACGAGGACGAGGACGAGGACGAGGACGAGGACGAAGAGGATGTGGAGGGAGGGACGAGGAGGACGAGGAGGATAATGAACAGGACGAGGAGGACGAGAACGACGAGGCGGAGGGGGAGGAGGAGGAAAAGGAGGAGGAAACGGAAGCGGAGGTGCAGAGTCAACCCAGGAAGCATCAACGATGCTGCAACACACCCTCCCGTCAAAGACCTTTCCTCATACGTTTCTGCACTTCTCTTTTCACCACAAGAGGCGCCTCCGTTCACACACGCGTACCCTGTGTGCTGGTAGTTCAGGCGAGAGTCTTGATTTGAAATTAAGCTGCCAAGCAATATCTGTAACGGGTTGTATGATATTCAAAACGCTAGACATTTACAGCTTACTTGCGTGTCCAGCGACAATCACGAAGCTTACAGCTGTAACTATACCCGTTTTCTTTTGACATTTGCGCCAGAGGCAGCCGCCTATCGCGTGGGCGACGGCGTTGTGAAAGAGTGCGCATCGCAAGCCTTGTGAGTTGATTGTCTTTTCCTCTATTGGACGTAGGCGGTCGCAGCAGATTTGCAACTCTTTTGTGGCAGCCAAGAGAGCACAGGTATAGGTCTAGATGTTTGATTGCATGTTTCACAAAAACGTCTATACCCAACAATGCTTGCACCCAATTTCTCTTGCCAAGTTGTCGACGTCGCTCACATCTGTGATTTCCTGGGGGCGCCACTGCAGCCCGCAGTAGCGGGTGATGGTGGGCGCGGTGACGGCATTGCATTTCCGCGGTTGGAGGCTTTTGCGGAGCGCTCAGTAGATGTCTTGCAAGTTTTCGCCAAGGCGAGACGGGTATAGGCATAGAGGAATCCTTCGTCAGACAACCCCGTTTTGACACAACCGCCAACCCCATCCGAGCAAACCTTGCGCAATGCTACATGAGCTGTCTTCCATTGTGCAGCAATGCAACGCGAGAGCCTGGCTAGAAGCGGCTCTGCCCTCCAGCCGTTCAGTTGTGACAGATGCAATATTTACACATCATATACACACCTACATGTATATAAGTATTGTATGTCTACATGTATGTACATACAGGTACACATGTGCAGTTGCCTGGTCTTTAGATGTCGTGCAGTCTCCAACGAAAGCAGAATTTGAAGAAGGAGCCGCCCTAACATGTCTGCTATCGCTGCACACGTGTAAGGCCAATGTGTGCGTCCTCCCAGGGGCAGAGCCCACCTCTGTGGCTGTAGGGAACTGTCAGGACGAATGTGCGTGGCGCTGAGGCGATAAACGTGATTCGACAGGAACCGCCCTCCAGTCATATTTCGTGCAAGCTGTTAAGACTGCGGCGACAGCCCAACTTCGACCCCTTAATTTCTGTACGTGCTGCGAGCGGTTAAGATGGATGTGCGCGGCGATCAGGTGGGCGCCCCGTTTCGAGATCCTTCCTCATTTGTACCTGTTTGAGCTTCAATGTCGAGTGCGCGGCGCTCGGGCGAGATGATGATGTTGAGATGACTACTTCATCGAGCTGTATCCTGAGCAGATGACAACAGTGCGAAGGCGCATGCATAACACACATGCAACAACGTATACAACATTTTAAGTCACATGCGTGAATCGGGCTCGACTTACATTCGCTGGTATGTACATGCACGGAACACTGAGAGCCACGCCGCAGCAATCACTTCGCCAAGGCGTCACGAACACAGCCAGAGTCTTAGCAAGAATCTCTCGGTGAGGCTGGCTACCAGTGCAGCCAAACGATAAGTGAAGGCATACATTAATGAAAACGAGCATCAAACAGCACGAATCTACATATTAATGCAAGGAAGGAGAAAGGGGAGTGGAGAGCATGCAATGCAGCAAAGGAAGGACGGACAAGAGAATGTGCATCCTTGCACACGCACGCACAATAAAGCGGAGTCTTACTCCTCCCGTGGATCGTTGTGCAGTGCTGTTTTTTCGTGAGGATGTGCCTAACCGGACCAGAGACAAGACAGATAAGGATGTTTAGAACAACTTCTGCGCACGGCAATCCAGCTGGCCTCCCAGGGGTATTCGAGACATTTCAGTTCAAGCATGAGTTTCGCGGTGTGGGGCACAGGGTCCATATTCATGCCCTGGTCCAAGTATTGGAAAAGCAAGCCCTGCACGGAACCCGGCTTCTCCAAGATATTTTTGTTGTTGTGCCAGGATTTGGAACGTGTGAACGGACCGCACGAAACATGTTCAGTTTTTATACGTTTTTCTATATGTGGGGGGGGGGGGGAACCATACATGAGGAACAGTGTCAATAGTGTAACCAGCGAACACATCAGGATCTTCAATCTTCAGTTCCAAGCGTTCGTACGTGCGCTTCCTACGGATCCGGCTGTGGACCGCGTGGCTATAAGTCCTCAGAAGGCTCAATCAGTTGGTCATTCAGAAGCCTAATGTCTGGTGCACAACGGTGTTCTGGATGCCAGGAGCATAACACACCGAAGATATCAACCCACCAGGCGATCATCATCGTGAAAAGTTGAATGCCGTCGCAAAGAAGGTGGGATGGCAGTAGCATGCGCTCACTCTCGAAAAAACAGCATACATGATTACACACACACCAGGGGGAAGGTTGCAGCCCTGTGTCATCCTACCGTCGGCACAAACAACCCTGTTCCACAGTGCAAGAAACAGCTGTCCAAATCTGCATTCAAGACCTGAACCAATGAACAATGTCATCCGCGCGCGGAAAAGAATCGTCAGCGGAGACAACACTGCAATTCTAAAGAGGAGGCTTTGGCCGGTTAGCACGCGCCAGATTACGGACGTGATCTTTGAAGGTATGAGAGAAACGATGTGGGGACTCTTGGTGACGACCATCATGCTTATACAGCCGAGGGAGGCGGATGAAACGACGATGGGTGTCGTGAGCCCCGTGCCGGCGATCATTCACCCATCTCGAGGCTTTACGAAAGAGATTGTTCCATACGTTTTTTTTGGGGGGGGGGGAAAAAGGTTCATTTCCCGTTTTGGAAGTACATATATGTATGGGTACAGCCACGCGAGCACTTGTCACAACAAGCGGCACTGACATTGCAAAATGTTTCACAATCTTTCCAGCAATGATCGCAGTGGTTGAGGCCGGGCACACATTGGTAGTCGTGGAATTCATTCGTTCAAAGCATGGCAGGCAAGAGAGAATTATGAGCGCAAGTAGTTATCGAAGTGAGACCTACATGGGCGGACTTTAAGATGCTGACTTGCAGCTTTCGGCCACACGTCGACACTTCCGACCTGGTGCAGTGTGACATCACGAGGAAGCAATCCTGCGTACGGCAACTTAGGCTGCAACTCAGATAAAGTATGATGAATCGAGTTTCGACAAGGAAAGACACGACACACGTTGCCTTCACCGAGGAGCACAGCACGAGCAAGCAACTGCCAAGAACGAAGACAAGATATGGCGAGGGAAGAAGGCATCTTGTCCACAGGAGGTGGCATTACAAGGCCACGTTTGGTGCGCAGACTATCCACAGCGCGCAACAACCTATCGCAACACCAGGAATACCTCCATGTACAAGCCCCCAGCAGAATGAGACGAAGCCGGGATACTGGATTAAAAAGCGCTGCCTTGAACAAGGCAACGCACGTGACTGTTCTGGGAACGATTCGTTGACAATTCATTTCAGAGAACATCGTACGTGCATGGCGACTTGCACTTTTCAAGCGATGTTCGACCACACCTTCGAGTTTGACCAGCAAAGTCTTCGGCGATGGGGCGTTCAATCGAATGTTTAACACGTGCGCAAGCGACCCGACCGGGTTTTGAACCGACATTTGAGAACAGATGGTAGAAGCGATGGCGCGACGAACGGGGCAGCCGAGCAGGGAAAGGAGGGACTTATACAAGAGACAAGAATTCGAACTCATACGGTCGATGACCTGGAGCAGTCTCTGGTGAGCCACAGCAAGGCTGGATCTGGACAGTGTCTTTGGCTGGCGTTGCAACAGCCAGGGCGCGACCTTGGGTGTGTTATCGCGCGGGCATTTTACCGCATGGTTGCTGCTGTTGGCTTTTCGTCGCATGTCGCCCAATCTGAGAGCCAGGGCTGACAGGGAAGATCGCTGCATGGCGAGAAACAAACGGATGTGCAACCAACATGACACCTACTCAAGAAAGGGAGGGGTCGGACAAACCACAGGCGCGGGGACAGGACCTGGATTTGGTAGGATTCACCACCGCACTGCAGACGACATCCTCTTCCCGTGGAGCACGGACGTGTTTCTTTACAAGTGGAAAGGTCAAACCGAGGGCGAAGAGCGTGGGTGAATCGTTTTTTTTCGAGCGCGCGCAATTCAGAGTCAGACGACGACGACGACAGACCAACAAGAGTAACGTACACCAATCTAGCAACATCCAACGACCTCATATGAAAATACGCGGGGATCCCAGAACGAGGGCGGTCGCTGAGCACATTGCCAAAGTGTTCGTGCGTGCGAACGTCCATCCCCCGATTGTCTTTCCAACAAACATGCAGTTTGGATCCATGGACAACCAATCATGCGCAACGTGAGAGGTGAAAGAGGAAGCGACACGATCATAAATCACAGCCCACTCAGAGCGACTAATAGAGGAAGGTACCTTCTGATGGTGGCGGAAAGAAGAGAGGCCAACGAGACAGCAGGTTCATACTATCTAACATTGTGCGGATATTTGACTCAGCAGTGGTAGTCGTTTTTGCAGAGAAAGAGAAACGCACGCCGTACAAGTGGCATTGGAGAGAACGCGCGTCGGACTTTGG